TTAGCTGAGTGGCAAATCAATTAACCACATTTTGCTGTAGTTGTCTTGTCTAAGACATCCAAGTTAAATTCTGGAACTAATAATTTATGTTTTGGTCCCATATTTTGTGATATGATTTTTACCAGTTGACCCTTTTGTTCACCAATCCTGTGTGTGTTGCAGAGTCACTAACAAGCATGAACAGTTCATGGATTTAGTGTGCTCTTTGGCAGAAATGAAAAATTCTAAGATTTTGGGCAAGAACCCAGCAATCATAAAATTCCTTTGCAGCTGCCCAGGAAGAACACCAAGTTCCACCAGCACTCTACTATGCAGATGATGTCCTTCAAAATATTCACAAACATAGTTTTAAATTGATGTGAGTGTAGAGAAATGGTCACACTTCAACTTTGCAGGTAAGACTGTAAACTGGTGCTGTGGATGGTAATTTGAGACTATTATTCAAAACTGTATATTTAGCCTCAGAAATTTTCCTAAGAAAAATATTGTAAAGATATATGTACAAGAATGTTTCAGAGCATTAATTTTAATGGTGAAATTTGGAAAACTCTAAAATTCAACAATAAAGGATTAATCAAATGAAACATGATGCATCCATTCAATGAATTTTCAAGGGGGAAATCAGTCTTTTTCATGTAGAAGTGCTTTTTAGGTAGAAAGGACCAGCTTCCTCTTTTCACTTTGTTGAGGCATCCCTGTGGGTCACATCCTCCTGGGATAAACTGCTCTTCCTCTTTCTAAGAAGCTTCAGTGGTGGACAGGTGGTAGCAAAGAGAACCTAGGTTATGGCCAAGGGATAATAGAGATGTAAACTTTCTACACATGCATTGTAGGATTCTACAATCATAGGCACCAAACTGTGGGCAGTAGGATCATAAAGGGTCTTTCGTGTTCCCCAAATTGCCTGAATATTTTACAATATTTTATGGGCGGGGCGGGGGGTGGGGTGGGCGGAATCTGTTTTGAAATATAAAAGAAAAAGCTACCAAGCCCACCCAATGCACAACTACCTTAGAGCTAGAATGATAGTTAATAAATTAAGCACGCTAAACATAAAAACCCATGTTATTAACAAAGCAGTAGCAAGATAATAACATAGCTACAAGCCAACATCTGAGTCACTGCGTGCTTCCAAGGAGTGTGGTTTCAGATGCTCATCTAGTATGGATTATGTCATAGCAGTCACTGGCAAATCAAGGCAATTTTGACTTAATCATGTATTGCAGAAAGTATAAATGTTAAAAAAAGATTCTGTTCCCTTTCTATTGTTTTCTGCGTGCACATGATGGCAAAGAAGGACTGTTTTGATGTGAAAATTGCCATTTCTGTAATTTACAGCATGTCAATATCACACAGAGAAAAGCTAAGTGCCAGATGCCTAGAAGAATGCTGCTAGTGGCCCCCACGCCAGTTCTAAAGGCCCAGTGGTGTCCCTGACTCACAGGGTTTGAATAATGACTGTGCAGCCTTCATTCTCTCTCAATCACCTCTGCTTGTAATTAAAAAGAATACATAGCATGCTAAGTAGATCTATAATTTAAGAGAAGAAAAAGGTTGGTCTGTGTGTGTGTGTGTGTGTGTGTGTGTGTGTGTGTGTGTGTTTATTTTAAGGACTTTGCTCTGGATGTATTCAACCATTAAATTATTTTATGAAGTTGAAATGGGTAAATAAATTATCAAGGACTGGCACCTACCATGTAATGTAGTTTTCTTTTTCCCTTCACCACTTATCCCCCGATACCCTCTTCCTCCTCCACCACCCCCTCTCCCTCACCAGAGCAATCATCACGCTGTTCATTGTCCATGTCAATGATGAAGTGGTTCTTAAACAATGCTTGGGAGCAGAGAATCTTATCTTACTCAGGGGATATAGTGGCCTTAAGCTTATTCATTATCTGCACAACTGAGGACATTACCAAGGCCAAGGCCATGTGAAAGATGGCCTTGAATCCACATCATTCAAGATGCTGACCGTGGCCTATTTAAGTGAGGAAATTTAGCCTTCAAAACGTCCAAGGGAACTAAGCACGCAAAACAACTTGCCAGAATGACGTGCTCTCTTCTGCCAATAATGCTATCGTAATTTAAAATTTTACCTTTGTGCTTGACAGTTATCATCACTGTGAAAGATTCATAGTCCACAGGATTATTTCAATTTCAATGACTGGTAAAAGGAGCAGCTTTGGCAATTACATTTACTATCAACAGCAGTGCTACCATCTATGCATGATGTCATTAGGGTTTTCTGTAAATGCCTGAAATGGCAGCATGCCTGGAAATAAAAAATAAGACCCCTTTTAAAACAGTGAGCTTTGTGTTTCCATTGACACAAGGCCCAGCTTTAGTCCCAGTGTTTGGGGGGAAGGGTGATATGGAAAGTTAGAGAACTCTGACCTGCTCTGACTGGAGTCACATTTTCTTAAATGATCTTCTGTCTTTGACATATTCGAGAACCAAAGAACGGAACATGCATTCACACTGCAGATGACACTGGCCATTAGCAAACCCTTTTGTCCCTGTGATCAGCAGGAGCCTTGACCTTGGCTCTTGGGTTGAGGCGATAGATGTGTGAAGCTGAGACCTGCAACCATCCCATGGAATAACTTGTACCTTTCACATCAAGGCGAGCTCTAACTAAGCTGATGAAATTTGGCCTTTTAAAATGTAACTTGTAAACAAACAAATTTCATGACCTTAAGGTCCTGACTTTCAACCCTGCTCCTTAGAGGTCCAAGATGGGACAAGACTCCCCAGCATGGGAGATAGGTATTTATTGTTCCAATCACTACAGCCCTTGCTCAAGTCCACCCAGGAAGCAGCTGTCTTAAAATCCAAGCCTCTTCTTCATTGTTTCCAGTCTATTGGGACAAGTGGTAGAAGCCCACAATGCATTCCCAGGATGGCACAAAGCAGAAGTTCCTAAGCAAGCATTCGTCTAGCAATGGTCTCGTCTACCAAGCATTCCCAGCTATCCCAGGCCAGAGAACTTCCTTCAGAGGATCCAGGTGAACTCTGCTCTCTGTTGGCCCCTACACTTAAATAAGCAACTAAAGATACAAGGAATGGTAGGTTACATTCTGTTCACTCAAATAAACTACAAATTCATTCAATTAAGAGCCATGTCCGCATTTCTTTGTATCTCCTAGTGCAGGAATGGCGAACCTTTTGAGCTCGGTGTGCCAGCATTTTGAAAAACCCTAACTTAACTCTGGTGCCGTGTCACATATAGAAATTTTTTTGATACTTGCAACCATAGTAAAACAAAGATTTATATTTTGATATTTATTTTATATATTTAAATGCGATTTAACAAAGAAAAATCAACCAAAAAAATGAGTTCGCATGTCACCTCTGACACGCGTGTCATAGGTTTGCCATCACTGTCCTAGTACCTAACACAATTCCTTAAATATACAGGGTGTCCCCCCAAAAAATGTATACACATTTTGAATAATTATTAATTTCAATGGATTAAATCTGAAAAGAAAGAAACATCAATTGAGTTACCGGCTGTTAGTGTGTATACATTTTTGGGGGCCACCCTATATTAAGGACTCATAAACTCTGCTGACTGACTGATTGGCAGGGATGGTTTTCTATTCATTTTCATATCTTCAGCACATAGATGGCTTTTGCTGATGACCAGGATAGGACAGTTTTGAATAAATAAATGAAAAAAGAATGCTACATTAAGACATTAGTTAGTAATGTCTTAGGACAAGTCACTAAGAGAGAATTAGCAGAAAATCTGTTAAAAATCTTCTGCTGAGTCTTAGTGTATAAAATAGGTAAGATCAGTGGTGTCTGATTGAAGAAGGACTGAGGACCCAGGATCTTGCCTCCTCAGCAGCTCTGCCCTCCCCTGCCATGTGGATCCCATAGAAATCTCCATGGAAGCTTAGAACTGCAAAGAACTCAGTCTGAAAAACCACCACCTAAACAGAGTTTGGTAATGTTTATAATTTCATTTATTTTTTATTTTTACCTTTTTTTAATTTATTAACAATTCAGTGTGTGGATAAAAGACCTTACTTATTTTCTTAAATGCATTGCTTTACTTCCTCCCGCCGCCCCCCGACCTCGCCATCTCATTTCTACTGGTAGCAAAAATGAGATGAATTGGTGGTCCCCAGACTAATTTGCCTTCTTAATTTTTCTGTGGAGGAGAGAATCTTTAAATCCTATCCCATCCATGCTAGATCTCAGCCTTAGGCAGTAGTTTAGGGGCTTAGGCCCTATAACTAGAAACAAGCAATTTGCATTGCCTATCACTCCCGGCTGATGAAAAAACTGTATAGATGTCATCATCAGACCCAGGGCCTGGCCTGCAGGGAAAAGATTATTGCTAGAGAAGTGAAAACTGCTCACTCCTTCAGCTGCTCATCACCCATTCGTTTGATAAAACCACCCACCCGTCAGACACTTCCTGGGCATCTACAGAGTACCATGAGAACTGGGGTTTTGGCTTGCTCATTCCCCACAGAGTCTAGAACAGCTGTGGGCAAACTACGGCCCGCGGGCTGGATCCGGCCGTTTGAAATGAATAAAACTAAAAAAAAAAAAAAAAAAAAAAAAGACCGTACCCTTTTATGTAATGATGTTTACTTTGAATTTATATTAGTTCACACAAACACTCCATCCATGCTTTTGTTCCAGCCCTCCGGTCCAGTTTAAGAACCCATTGTGGCCCTTGAGTAAAATAGTTTGCCCACCCCTGGTCTAGAATAATAAGAACAAGGTAGGTACTCAAAAAATATGTGGGGGTCAACGACCTTATTCTTTAACTCATGACATTGGGCTCTCAGAGTAGGCAAAACTCTCAATTGTCTACTGCAATTTCAAAGATAAACATTACAACCTTATAAGAGCTTCCTCAAAGCTAAGCTCTATTTCCACAGTTACAGCTACAGCTTAATCCTATCCTAGTGTCCACTTGAGTGAAATAGGAATCAGTCCTACCTGCAAAGTCCCTAAGGCAAAAAAAAAAATGAACATTACACTTTAAGACATAAGACTAATTTGTTTATTTGGTGTGTTCTGTAACTGGAGAAGGGAAAATTTGGGGAAATAAATAAATAAATAATCAGACAAACGGAGACTTGGGGGCAAAGAAGGAGCTGAGGGGGAGGAAGCGGAGTCCTTGCATAGTTCTAAATGAACAGGAGGTGGCAGCAGTAGGCAACGCGGGTTCTCAGCAGAAATGCAGCACTTGCAAAAACCAGGGACAGGAGGCTTTGAGAAAGGTCAGAAGGTGACTAACTATTTCTTTGTCACAGAGACCCGTGGTGTGGAACATCCGTCCTCTCCACTGGGGACGGATGCAGCGTCTCACAGGATCTGCCTGGGCATCCCGTACCCCGTCATGCCCGCCTGGGAGGCGCCCTTGTTGCTGCCCATCTGCAGGCCTATCACATTCTGTCCTTGGCGAAGCTGCTCCTCTGAAAATCCTCTCCGATTCTGCTGGGCTTTCCTGGGCAGAGGGAAGGAGATGGAATAATGTCATTCTGACGGTTTTCAAACCCTTCCCAAGATAGGTAGGTAGACAGGCTTTGGTGGGGGCGGTCACCAGATAGAAGAGCAGGCCCTATCCTAGGCTACAGTCTGGCCATGAACTATGGCCCTACCCTGGACTATGACCCTTCCCTGAGCTATGGTTCTATCCTAAGCTATAGTTTTACCCTGAGCTATGGCCCTACCCTGAGCAATGGTTCTACCACACGCAAGCCCTGCCGTAATACATGAGCTCTTACTCCTTGGAAGCCCAGATGTTTTCCTAGAATTTCCAGTCAAGATCAGTAGCTACCTCTCTGGGGACTTCACTCTTGGATAACTTTTCTGTCACTGTCTTTCTCACAGTTACTTCAAACCCTTGTGAAAATTAAAACCAGCTCTTCTTACAAAGCATGTCATTAATCCCAGTCCACCCTTCCCTGTAAAGGCCAAGGGTTAAAGTTCCATTTTAGAGCTGAAAGACCAAGAAGTTATAAAGGGGAAATTTCTTACTCTAGATAAGAAGTCAGCAAACTTCAGCAAAGGGCCAGATAGTAACTAATTTTGGCTGTGGGGGCCATAGAGACCATGGCAGGTCATTAATAAAACTAGGACTGAAACCAGAATTTCAACTGGCCAATATCTAGGTGATTTTTTAGACCAAGTTCTTTTGAAATAACACAGACTTGCACCTTTTTTTAACCATCAAAAAGAAGAAAAGGGGGGTTAGGGAAATGAAGAGTCAGTTAACTGGTACAACATGTTCTTTTCTCTTCATCTCCCACTGAATTATTGGGTTGAGTTTCAGCTCTCTTACTACCCCCAACTCCTGAAAAAAAACAACAAAACAAAACTCCTCAGGAAAAGGCCCTTTACTGACATGACTGTATAGTTATTATTCAATTCAGACCAGGCCACTTCTGAGAGTGCTATTAATAAATACACCAGGACAACAAGTATTAACCACTGTCTCAGGCAAATATATTTTCCCTTCATTTAGTAGATAGATAGATAGATAGATAGATAGATAGATAGATAGATAGATAGATAGATATGGAGAGAGAGAGAGAGAGAGAGAGAGAGAGAGAGAGAGAGAGAGAGAAATAGATATTACTTTGATTCAGGGCTACTTGGGTCATAATAAAACCAAGTTCAGACATCAAGCCACCTCTGACAAAAGCAATTTAGTCCTGCTCAGTCTCAGAAGGAACAGAACCTGGAAGCAATGGTAGCAAAGGCCTGACCATTTCTGCCCCGGGGGCATGATGCCCTGAACATCAGCATCTTCCCTTGCTCTGGGGGACTCAGTTGTGGGGCCAGGAGTGCTTGCCCCTAGGGACTTTGTGTTGAAATAGCCTCCGGGAACTACAAGGCTTCAGATGCTCCCTTTCGTTCAAGTCAACCTCTGCTCCCGAGAAAGGCTTTTACCTGTGAAACCAGGATGGCTCTCCCCGGTAGCAGCCGTCATCCTTGGTGACTGCCACACTGCCTAGAGCCATCAGGGTCCTCTGCACAGCTGCCATGTCCTTCCCTGGAAACCAACGAAGAGATTCAAGCCAAGCATGTGTCAGGGCCAAGGAATCTGGAAAGAGGGGGCTGGGCCTTCGGGAAGGGAGTTCTGATAAGGGGCTGCAGGCAATCACTTTCAGGGGACAGGGATAGGAAATACTTCTCAAAGTGGCCTGCAGACAAGCAGAGCCCAACCTCTCAGAAAGAAACAAACAAACAAACAAATCATGGGCTCATTCGGTTCTATATGAGGCATACCAGAGATGCCGGTTTCTAACCCGTTCAGAGTTGCTGTATGAAACAGACACTCCAAACACTTAGCAGCTCAGATCTAGGTATATCCCCGCTCTGAGCAGAGGCCCTGGGCTGGGTGGGTCCTGGCTCTGGTGCGAAGAAGTCCTGTGGGCAGACTGTGGTGGATTACGGAAGAGGATTTTCCTCAGGACGGGAAAGAGAAAAGGAGACTGGAAAGAAACCGGTTGGATGGATTAACTGCACCAAACCCCAGGTGGCTTCTCTCTTTCACTTTATCTGGGTTAAAAGGATCTAAAATCACCCATGTGCATCAAATTGAGTATTCACATGGCTGTTTGGGCTGGAGGCCTGGCAAATGAGGAAAAACAAATCAACACAGAAGCACTCAAGTGACACAGATGACAGACCCTTTATTTTGTGCTGCTTGAAGAAGTTAATGGAGACAATAAATAAGTGGTAGGCGAGAGAGAGAGAGAGAGAGAGAGAGAGAGAGAGAGAGAGAGAGAGAGAGAGAGAGATGGGAGGGGAAGCACTGTTAGCTGGGATGGCCAGGGACCCCTAACCCACGGAGAAGGCAATTAGGCCCTCCAGGTCAGCCTGCTCCTCCCATCTTTTCTCCCTTCCTCCCTTCCAGTTGACTAACATGTCCTGGACTGAGAAAGATGCTGCTGTGTGATTAGCCCTGCAATTTAGAACCAGATCCAAGGTCCATACGAACCAGTTTGGAATGCAAAAGCTAAAGCACTGGGTTAGAAAGGAAGGCAGCATTCAGCCTGCTGGGGAGTGGGGGAAGTCAAAAGACAAAGATTAAAAGGCTCCCTTCAGGCTGAGTGAGCCATCTGTCGGCTCTCCAGCCCAGCCGCTGCCGCAGTCACGGGGAAATACAGGGTTCTGGGGGAAAGGCAGACGGGAAGTGAGAATGGAGTACAACTCTAATAAAATAAGCAATTAAGGCCTACAGAGGAAGTCCAGTTCAGGATGTCCATTTATTCAAAGATGAGAGAGACAGCAGATCCTTCTCTCCTCGCCTCTCTCCTCCGTCCCATTAACCAGGGGCGGTTTCCTGGATCCTGAGGCCTTGTGGGACTGGTTAATGGATACAGGGATAAAACGCTCTTAATGTAGAGTCCCCAAGACCCAAGGGACAGCTGGGATGGTGGAGAATGGAGAAGCTGGGCAGCAGAGGAAGGAAGAGAGCACAAGGAACACTGAGAATTAAGAAAGAGGAAAGACAGATGTGGTTATTAGCATGATTTTTCTCTTCTGCAGATGAAAAACGTTTCTGTAATTGTCACTGAATAACAGGATACTGGAAATTTAAAAAAAAATAGAACCGCAGTGATGCTGCTCTGAAGAACCACTCTGGGAAGTAGTGAGTCATTAAAGAGAACCTAGAGAAATGATTAAGCACAGGGAGGCTTAGGAAGGTTAGGGTGGATCATGCATCTCCACTCTGTACAATGAGTGCACTAGGGATGTTTCCGATGGTTGGTATGTCCAGGTTCTGGGAATTTGAGGAGCTTGACAGCCAGCAACTCAGTCACAGACACTCTCCTGGAGCCATGGGTGCAGAAGCAAGTTCTGTTTACCGTAGACCCAAGCCTCCTTCGTGTAGCTGGCTAAAGTATATAGTACATGAACCCAGAAAGGATGGAGGGAACTACGTTGGGGGTAAAAGGAAGATATCTAGAACTATAAAGACCACTCCACCTTCATCCCAGAGAATGGAAAAGGAAGCAACTACACGATTGGGGCAAAAGAAGCTAGGGAAGGAGGCATTAGATAGGAACAACATAGAAAGGTTTTCCTTAATAGAGGTTCCAAGACAAAAGATTTGATGTAAATTATAGGCCAAACACTTCACCGTACGTGACATTGACCCCATAGAATTGGTGTTACTCCTCCCAATGTATTGATAGAGAAATGAATCTGGAGATATTCACTAACTTGATTCACCCACCAAGTAAACCAGGGCCTGGCTTTAGCTCTGGTTTCTGAAAATAAAGCACACAAACCGTCCACTAAGCCACTTGACATGGGTCCCCATCGCAGGCGGCTGAGGCGGCTTAGGCAGCTGCCTCGGTGACCAGGGATGAGCCGAAGGTCTGGCAGTGGCTGCTTCAGTGCCAGTCCAGAGCGAACGCACTGGGAGGAGGAAACTGGCCACAGTTCCTGGACCCCACAAAATCAAAGGCACCAGCCGCGAATGGCGGTAAGTCCTGGAGTGTTTTTGTCTGAAATCATTTCTCCAGGTCTCAACTCAAAGAAGATTGAAGCAAGAAAAGGCAGTTCAAGTCTATTATTGTCCAGATTCTAAACAACGCCATGAACAGAAATCTGTGTCTGTAACTAGCTGGTGTCTAACCTGTTTCTTGTCATGTGTGGTTCCGTTTCTGGTAGATGTTCCTGGGAAGATTTCCAGCACTCAGGCTGCACTTCCCTGACCAGCTCCGAAACCCAGATCGAGGGCTGTGGGTGGAAAGGGGCCGTTGTGGAGACTGATCCCTGTCACTGGGGTCAAACGTTTAAATGTCTAAAGGAGCACTGAGATGAAGCAGTATCTGTGAAGTGTGCCAGGTAGAAAGCAAGGAAAGCTAAACTGCTGTGTCACCACCAAGTGCAGCATCTGCCGAGAACACAGCCTGCTTCAGGGCAAGAGCTTCTTGGATGACTTATGGGACGGTGCAGGGGTCTCTTTAAAAATATGAATTTTGAGGTCATTCCCTGGGGAGACTGATTCAACAGGCCTTGGGTGGGGCTTAGCAGTTTATATTTTTAATAAACTCCGTGAGGCAAGTTTGAGGAACTCAGGTTTCACCTGGTGGCTCCCAAATGAGAGTGATCATTACAATTACCTGCGAATCTTAAAAATGCAAATTCTGGGACAATCTCCTGAGGCAATTCCAATGCCTCCAGATTGGATAGGCAAGCTCCAGTTCTTTGGTTTTTAATTTCTTAAAAAACCAAAATGTCTGGCATGTGGTAAATACTAAGTAATATTTGTTAAGCAATAACTCCTCCCTTCAGAGATATCTTCTTCAATGCCAAATAGTAAAATCAATAATTAGAAGGGCTCTGCTCCAAGCTGTGAGTCAGCTCAGAGGCCTGGGAGCTTGGAATCTCTTTGATCCCTGAAAGCTACCCCTCGATCAGCGGTTCTCAAGCTGTGGGTCGTGACCCCTTTGGCAGTCGATTGGCCCTTTCACAGGGGTCCCCGAAGACCATCCTGCATATCAGATATTTACATTACGAATCATAACAGTAGCAACATTACAGTTATGAAATAGCAACGAAAATAATTTTATGGTTGGGTCACAACATGAGGAACTGTATTTAAAGGGCCAGAAGGTTGAGAACCACTGCCCTAGATACTGTGGCAAGATCGTTTGAAAACCACTGCTCAAGGGCTATTCTCCCAAGGGGAGAGGGTGAGGTGGGGGTGGGGAAGAATAGTACCAACTAAGTACTGGGAATTTTCTAGATGCTGGAGAGCAGAAATGAGACTGAATCCTAATGGTGATCTAAAAATGAGACCTCTGCTCTGGCCAGTGTGGCTCAATGAATAGAGCACTGGCCCGAGCACCAAAGGGTCCCAGGTTCATTTCCCAGCCTTGGTCTCTCACATCAATGTTTCTCTTTCTTCCTCTCTTTCCGCTCCCCTCCCTCTCACTCTCTCTAAAAAAAAAAAAAAAAAATCACTGGGAAAAAATATTCTCGGGTGAGAATTAACAAAAATAAAAAGAATGACACCACTGGACAAAGAAGGGTAGAGACATATGAAAGCGGAGTGGCCAAGTGTATACTAACAGTTCGGAGTTTTAACCAGGCTACCTCTAGCCCCTTATCACAGGGGAAGCTAATTAGAACTTGAAGTTGTAACAAAAGATGGTGGCCCAGTAGCTTCCCTGTCTCACCAACAAAACTTTTCTGAGAGTTTCAGATAGCGACTGCCACTTCCACTTGATGCGAGAGTGTTCCCTGTTTACTGCATTATCACAAAACAGTGTTTATCTAAGTGTGGTCTTTCTTCTAGTCCAAACTACCGAATGGTAATCTCTGGGGAGCGGGGCCAAGGTTCTGCATTGTAAGGCCCCACCCTGGCCCAACCTCAGGGATTCTTAATGCCCAAAAAGTTCGAGGTCCATTACCCTAAAGATACTAGAACAAAGATTTTTTTTTATTACTTTCATGATAGCTTATGCATGTCTCTGAAAAGAAAAATATAAAAAGAACAGTAAAAAGAAAAAGAAATGGCCAGAGAAATGTCATGTTGGTGGAGAAAGTTGTGTTGGACATCCTACTTTCAATACTAAAACTCAGTGTTATGGTCAAAATTCTGCTCCAAAGCATCTTCCATATTACATCAGTTTTGACTCATCCTTTGCTACTCCTGGATTACTGACTTTTTTCATCTTTCTGGGACTTAGAGAGAAAGCAATCGGTGGAAGGAGTCATTTCTTATTTCCCTGAGTAGTAACTTAGGCATAGGCCCCAATTCTCCTTTCAAGGTGGAGGAAAGCTTGCTATAGTCAATGGAGAAACATCAGAGGGGAGGCAGGGCTGGCGCTGTGAATTTAATTAATTTTTGTTGCTTGTCTCCCCGGAGAAACTCTCTAGGGCAGTGGTTCCCAGACCAGCAGAAGCAGAGTCATCTATGAATTGGTAAGAGATGCAAATTCCTAGGCCCTACCCCACACATAATAGTTCAGAAACTCTGGGCTGGGCCCAGCAATCTGTTTTAACAAGATGATTCTGATGCACGCTGGAGTTTGAGAACCTCTGCTAGAGAAAACAACAGCCAAACACAATTGGGAGCAGCACTTGTAAGAAAAGGAAGCTTCAAGCAGGAGGCATCTGTGATGCCTCAAGTCACTACAGGCACCTCACAGTATCCCAAAATATCTCTCAAATTGGGGGAAATGTCTCTTTGCTCTGCTGTTGAGGAATGACACATGCAGTGACACCTCCTCAGAGAATATATTTGGACTTTCCAGGCACTCCATCCCCGGATGTAAAACCCACCTCCCCCCTAACTAACTGCTAGCCATCCAGGAGGGGGAATAGGGAGGCATGAAAAACCCATGTGTCTGGTTCATCGTCAGTAAAATCACTGAGAAGAGTAATCAGATTTAACTGATCTTTGAGTCTTGCCTGCTCTGACATTCTAGATTTCTACATGTGTAATGTTCACCACATAGTTATGCAAAGGTTAGTCGTCAAGGGACTCTGAGTAGGGGAAAGAAGCCAGCATTGTGCTAGGCATTTTACACATTTAATCCTAACCCTCTGAGGAAGGCACTAGACCTGTTTATAGAGAAGGAAACTGAGGTTCTGAGAAGCTAAGCAGTTTAAACAAGGTCACACAACTAGGATGTATTTAAAGGGTTTCAGCCCATCTACCTGGCTCCCAGAGTCATGCTCTTTCCACTGTGCTGACATCTTCTGGGTCTGAAATTGGGGAAAGACATCAAAAGGATCATGGCCAGGCCCTAACTGTTTGGCTCAGTGGATAGAACATCGGCCTGTGGACTGAAGGGTCCTGTGTTCGATTCCGGTCAAGGGCACATCCCCGGGTTGCTGGCTAGATCGCCATTAGGGGACGTGCAGGAGGCAGCCACTCAATGATTCTCTCTCATCATTGATGTTTCTATCTCTCTCTCCTTCCTCTTTAAAATCAATAAAAATATTTTTTTAAAAAAGGAGGGTAATGGCCAGGAGGTGGGAAAAAGCGTAAAGCCCGCCTCGCCCTACTGAGGAATGGCAGACAAATGAGGGCAAAGGTCATCCGGGTAACCCTACCAGCTTCTGTGTGAAGCCATTAACGGAATCCATTTGTTACAAGACAAAATTTGTGCCTGTCCAGCCTTGCTCCTCTGCTCTCATTTTGTATTAGTCTTAAAAAAAAAAAAAAAGGCCAGGCCAATCACACCAGTAATTTTTACATTTATTATGCTCTGTTATTGCCAGGCACTATGCTAAGCACTGCTCACGCATTATCTCACTTACTCCCCATGTCAACCCTGTGAAATAGAAATGATTATTCCCATTTACATTAAGCTGAGGAAATAGAGGCTTAGAAAAGTTAATTGATACGTGATGGAGCAGAGCTTTGAACCACAGTCTAATTTCTGACTCACTGAACTACCTTCCAGGGTGTGTTCTTTGGGTCTGTCTGACTCACTAACTCTCACATGTTCTCTTTCTTTTACACACACACACACACACACACACACACACACACTTTTCTTGCTCATCCCTTTCGCTCCTTCCCCCTTTCCCTCTGAAAATGCTGAAATCTAACCTCCAGTTCACTCTCCTCTGAGCACAGACAGCTGAGTCAGCCCCACCCCTGCCCTACCCCTACCCTTTCCAGTGGCCCTATCTGAAAGTCACCAACCAGGCACTCAGCTTCTCATTGAAGAGAGACTTGCCCAGTCCCCTCCCATGCTCTAAGTGTCCTTCCTCCTTTGGCATCGCCAGCTCCCTCCCGGGGAACTTTACTAGTTTTGTCTATAACATCCCTGTGAATGGGTTGTTTTCTGGACCATTCAGCCCTGGGTTCCTTTTTGAAGTCCAGAACCTTTCATTCTGGTGTCCCCATTCCATTCCAACCATTTCACGTTGTATCTAAAAGGGTTTTCAGGATAGTGGGTACATCTGGAGCCTCTACCTGTCTAGATAACTAAAGCCTAAGTAGAAGGCATTTGGCAAGCCTGGGCTCCAGGCTCTATATGTCTGCAACATAATAGCAGCAGAGTCACTGGGCAGCTATGGGCAGGATGAGCCCTCCTTGGAGAGATGCCGAGCAGAGGGGAAGGGGAACTGAGAGGTGTGGAGCATAACATGCATGCAGAGGAGGAAGAGACAGACTCAGGCAAGGAAGCCTGGACCTGCAAGAGCCAGGGCCACGTGGGCAGAATCAGGAGTGAATGTGTGTAAACCGAAAACCACAGCCAGGATGTAGAATAGCAGGGGGAATGTGGCACTAAGCTAAGCAAATGGCTGGTCCAATAGCTCTGTATACAAACACGTACACGCTCATACACACATAGACACACTGACTGTGCCTCACAGCATCCCTCTAAGGCCTGCATATTCATCCCCAAACTCAAGAATGACAACTAGCTCTTACAGAAAGGACCCAGCCTCAGTTGCTCAGTCCATGTGCAATCTGTGGGCTCACTGCTGGGTTTTCTAGGGCCACTGCCCCTCCCACTTTATCTGCTCAAAGAGCAACCCACCTTCCCACCTCTTGCTCCATTGCATAGAAACCAGCTCTGGCCTGAGCTTCAGACAGTGATCTTGGGGGATGTCAAGTATCTCCTCTAAGGTTTAGAATGAGTCTCCTGAAATTCAGTTCTCAGTTACCCCTCCATGGAGAGGGCCACCACACCCTGGGGACTCTAGAGGCCATCTGAACACTCCTACACACTGCTTTCCTGTGGCCAGCTCTCCTGCATGACTTTACCTGTAGCAGGCCAGCCACAGCACCTCGGGAGTGGGTTTCCTCCCTTAATTCTTTGAAAGCTCCATCCTTCTTCTGCCTGGGGTTGACACCTCTCAGTGTCTGCCTTATTTGCTTTTTCTAGGAGCATTAACCTGTCCACTACCCTATCTCATGCCTCTCAACCTCCCTCTTCCCTAAGAGGTGTCTAACACACAGGGCTAGGGAGGTGGTGTTAGGCAGAGAGCTGGCATCAAAACTCATCATAGTTTTGATCAATACCTGCTCTCGCTGCCCCATCACTGTCAGCACCTCCTGGGTGCAAAAGTTCATCTGTAGAGTCTTTGGAAAAGGGGGAAAGGTGAGCAAAGCATCCTCAGTAATGGAAAGTCAGGAAAGCACCCTAGGGAGACACACCTCTCACACACCTTCCAGGTTCTTCATCCTCCTACATTTCCTGTACTGGGTGGGGGGAGCTCATGGGGCCCCTTCCATTTACACAAACACCTAGTTAGTGCAGGGGCTCTAGCCTTTTGTCCCACACAGCTCTGACTCAGCCTCCTCCTTTTCAGCCTCATCCATCATCATTATGATTCAACAGCTCACTCACAGATTAGGTGAAGGCAACAGCCTACTGGCCGAGGCGTGGCATGGCAGACTAGTTAAGGTCTTATTGTTTGGCATCAGAAAGATTGAGTTTGAGTCCTGAGCTCTGCTAATTACCAGCCAGCCAAATGATGAACACATGCAATCATGGGCAAGCTCCAGTTTTGTCATTTATGAAATGGGCAAATTAATAACTTTTACTTCATAGAGCTGTAGGAGAATTGATTGGCAGTATGTAGTAAAGTACTTGAACCTTGCCTAGTGCATGGGAAAAAATATCAATAAGCAGTAGCTATCTTCATTAGCTGGGGAAACTCATCATAGTTTTGATCTAAAAAGAAAGTATCAACTGTGGCATTCCACAGGGATCTGGAGGCTCATGCCCATGAAGTCAATGGCCGGGCCTGAATGTCTGGCTACCCAATTTTCCAAGTAATGGCAAACACAAGGAAAACTGACAGGCATCTTAGGATTTTAACTACCCATCTGTGAGTGAAACAGGAAATGCCAGCTCTCTGCCTAACATAGAGGAGGGTGAGAGGATTAAGGAGGCAACAGTTTCTTTATAAGTTGTTTAGAAGAATAATGTTCTGCTAGAAATATATTTCAACCATCATCTGACTATCCCTTAAAATCTCATCATCTATTGATCACAGGAAAGTTACCCCATTCTCACTGCCAGCAGAACCATTTGGTCGATGCCATGAGCATCCTACTGGTTGGGTCGCTGATGACAGCCAGTGACAATGAGCAGGACAGAGCAGAGTCAACCTGGAAACCCTGCTGGGATTGGTCTGCATCTCCCTGTGCCCAGGCAGGTCTAGTGTGAACAGTTGAATGAGTGGGCATCTACATTTGGTCTCATGGGGACACAGCACTCTGACCATAGGTCCCAAATTCTCTGGCAGTGTCTCCATTCCCCTCATTCCCCCTAATAATGGTGGATTGTTATATATGTCCTGAAATGTGATATGATTTTTATGCTTCTTAAGGTTTCTTAAGTCAATTCACAAATGTGAAAGAAGAAATCATTTATCAGACTCTCTGAGAGAATACGTATCTGGAAGGTATAGTCACCAAGCTCCTAGTTGAATAAACAGTTGAGGTGCTATTTATTTCTGAGACTGAATGACAAAATTGCACCAGGTGGCTTTATCTGAGTCCCACTGCTGGTGAGTCAGAACACACCACCACACACACACACACACACACACACACAC